ATTTTCTTCTCTAAAATTGTCTCCTTTCACCTTCTTTCCTGCTCTCTGGCAATGTTCTGTTGTCTGCTTTCATTTCCACTTTCTGCCCCCACCCCCCTCACCACCGTTGCCCCCTCCTCTGGGCTCCTGACTCTTTCTGCAGCCTTTCTACTGCTACTTCTTGGCTCCTCCCTACTGCTGTCTTTCTGCCACACCCCTGATCTTTTGGTAGGAAAGATCTACACCTAGCCTTCTCGGACAAGGGCGAAAAATCTCGGAGGGCCCGTGTGCAAGTTGCGCACGTTAAAGATCCCTTGGTGGTCTAAAATCGATAAGAGTAGACTTTGGCCGCCACCAAGGCAAAATTAAAAATTTCCTACCAACTGAAAATAATTGTGTCCCGCGCGCTCATATGACCTTATGCAGTTGCGAGCGCCGTAAACACTTTACAAAAACAAACAAAAGACAGAAACAACAGAAGGAAAGTATAAAGAAGTAGGACCTACCAGTAGCACCCTCCAACCACCCGCAGATATTTAAACTAAAAAAAGTAACTAAGAAACAAAACAAACAAACTTACAGCTTCGAAGTAATACGACACATACTGAGAAGTCACAACCTCCTCAAATCAGTGTTGTCAGGAATTGTTCAACCAAACACCTAAACTATAACAGGCCCAACTCGAGAAATAATAACAATAATAAAAATAAAATTTAAAAAACAATAATATCTCCCACTGCCAAGTGGTGGCCTGTAGAACAACAAAAACCAGCCGCTCTTCTTGTCACACCCAACGACACCTCTTGTATTGTTCCCATACGTCTTCCATGCCCAGATTTTATACAACCCGCCAGCCAGCGACGACCATAACATGTTTTTCGCCTCCCTAGCGTACGTCAACCACCAACGTCACACCTCATCATCGAATAAACCAATCAATACCCCCCCCTCCCTCCCCTCCTTGGCTGGAACCGCTGGCAGCGCTAACAGTCTCCTCAGGATCCCCCCCCCCCCCCTCCTCTCTCTCTCTCAGAGGGATATAACACAGATTGAAAACAAAAACCCAGATGAAAAAAAAAACGAAAAACAAAAACAAAAACAAAAACTCTGCGAGTGTAAAAACGGGGCTGTAAAGAAAAAAAGAAAAAATCTATAAAAACAAAATCGGGAGGAGAAAAACAAATCACCTTCCCTTTCAGCAACTGATTCTGTCTCATCATCAACATTGCCTCCTCCCACCCCACCCCACCCCACCCCATCCCCCCTTTCTCCCACCTCTAACCCCTAGGAATCCCACAATACAAAGAACAGGACAGGAGGGATGGACAGGCGGAGAGATCAATACAACAGCTCCACCACAACATTAGTCGCATCTCCCGCCCTCAGTAGGTCACATCATCGCCTCACACACACACACACACAGAAACACACACACACAAACACAGAAGAAGACAGCGGGTGAGTTTTCTTTTTTTCCGTTTGGTTTTAGTAAGAGTTTTATGGCACTTGCAACACAATAAAATCCTATAAGAGCCGAAGATCAGAGGTGTTACAAGAGAGTAACAAACATAAAAAAGAAGGGGGATAAGGACGATAGATGTTTCATAGGAAAGAAGAAGCAAACCACACCAGAGCACCAGTCAACCATCCACAAAAAGAGATATAAGGAAGATAAATGTTTCATAAGAAAGAAGAAGCAAACCACACCAGAGCACCCGCCAACCACCCACCTCACACCAAGACTTCTCGACAATCAATACAAAGAAACAAAGACGCACACCACCACTCCCTCCTCCCTCCCTCTTTTTTTTTTTTTCTTCATCGCCATCACGTGGAAATAACACCCAACAAGCAACAGGGCTTGGGGGGATTAAAGGGGGGGGGGGGCTAAAGGGTTTATAAAAACACGTGCAATTAGAATGCCCACAAAATTTTTAAAAATCAATACCTTTACTCTCGCCAGTTCGTATAGCGCACGCAGCAACTAGAGGCAAATCTCATTCAGGTTTAAAATGCCTTACCAATGGATCAAGGTAAACTACAATAGAAGCTTCCCATTCACAAAGAACACAAAGAACTTAATTCAATTTTTCG